GAATACGGTGTACTTTCCTAGAGTTATACAGTATGGCAGCCCTATAGAGAAAGAAAGAGGAAACTGTTAGAGTAGCATAGATATTAAAGACTTAAAAATATATAGCATTAAAAAGTCAATTTTCAAAAATAATATTGTGAAAAAAAAATAATCATTTGTTAGACCATAACAAACCAGAAATAACAATGGAAAAATTCAAAGAAATTTAATGAATGCCTCATATTGTTCAAGCATTATATGTGCACTGAGGATAAAAGATAAGATAACCATTTTCCTTTCATCATAAATATGAGTGCCTAATTTTGTGCCAGAGATCCAGTGGCAAGGAAAGCAAAGTCCTTGCCTTCAGGGAACAAAGCTGAATGAGAGACACAGTAAATACTCATGGAAATATGTAACTATAAACTCAAATTATTGTGATAAAAGAAAATGTACAATCTAAGCATAAATAGGGAAACTGGATGTAGTCCTAGGGATCAGGAGAGGTGTCCCTGAGCAAGTGATGCTTGAGTTGACATATAGGGAATGAGCAGGAATTAATTATGTAAAGGCAGTTGAACTGGAAGGGAAATGAGGAAAAGATGTTTTGACCCCAAAGACAGTCCTGGGGAACTGATCAGGGGAATTAAAATTTTCTCATGTTCAGCTAAGATGTGAATTCAAATAATTGTTTCTCCAAATCACAACAAATGAATTTCCATTCATAAAATAAAATATATAAATAAAACCAGAGCTAACACTGTACATGATAAATTAGAGAAAAATTTTGCTGAAGAATCACAAGATTAAAAATTGCCAAAATTAACCCTAGAAAAACTAGGCCTGATAGAAATATTCAACAGAATAAAACTTCCTACAGTTCTTAAACAAATTTAAGAGAAGAATTGCAGCAATAAAATTTAGATTTTAATTTGATCCTGAGGAACTCAATTGCAAAGACTCTGATTTGGAATAATTTAATATGTACAAAAAACTGGTGAATCAATTTCTTTATAATTTACATAGAAAAATGATTCCAATAAAAAATTTCATAAGATTATGCTGAAATAGTAAAAAAATAGAAAAAGAAAGAATAATTAAAAAATTAAAAAATAAATAAAAAAAATTTCAGTCAAATGAATATGGAAAAAGTACAAATTGTTTTGGTACACTGTGTAGAAAACTGATCAAGAAATTATATTAGCTTGAGTGCATACAAGAAAATAATTTTTCAACAAAAGTCCATCTGTGATAGTATGACTCTCATTTAACATTTGTATTCATAAAGTCAGAATGTCTCTAGGGTCATGTATGGTATCTGGAAAGGCAGGGGGTAGGCAGACTGAAAAGGCTCGAATGCAGAGGGGGCTCACCCTGGTGGTTCTTAGAGCCAGAGTGCTTGAGACAAAGGAGTATCTTTGAGATATCTTAGGGTATAGATAAGGAAACCAGTTTCAACACATTGAGCTAATTTCTGTGATAAAAAGGAAACACTGGGTGATTTAGGATTCACTGAAAAGGCACCCAAATAGACAGGAAATTAAGAATTTATTCCCCCATTATTTAAATAATAATGGCAGCTAGTATTTAAAATGGTGCTTACTACATGCCTGGAATTATTGAAGCACTTTTAGGTATATTATAATTTATTTACTCTTGACAAAAATCACTATGAGGCAGGATACTATTCCCATTTTACAGATAAGGAAATTGAAGTAGAAAAGTAAGTATCTTGCCAAAGAGAACATAGCTAATAAGTATTAGAGCTGAGATTCATATGAAAGCAGTCTGGATCCAGTTATAAGTGAATCAGAAATGGTGTATGGTTATTATAAAAACATACAATATTTGTTTTCTATCTTAAAAGGCTTAGGAGCCAAAGTTCCTAATACAGTGGTATGAATATTTTCATTTTGGCATATTGTGTAACTTTTAATACACTCATATACATAGAGGCTATGTTATTTGTATAAAGTCAAAAACTAGTGAGTGGGAGAGTCAGTATTCAAAATCTGGCACTCTGATTTCTGAACTCTGACATAAGTCAGGTAAAGAAGAGGTATCTAGAGAGGTTTAAAAAAAAAAGGACCAAATCCTGAAAGGTATTATCTTTCCTGCTAATGAGGAGCCATTGGAGCCTTTAGGACTTGACTAGCTCAGATTTGCATGTTGAAAGATCACCCTGGGTCTGTCAGTGTACAGAAAGGCTTGAAGGGGTGGTTCGGAGCAAGAAGGTATAATGCAATCCAGCCCTAACCTAAGGTAATGGCAATAGGGAGAATTGATTCAGTGTTTTGACAAAACCCAGTGAACTTTTAGATATGGGAAATCAGAGGTAAGAGTAATGAATAATTCTTCTTCATCTGTCCTGGGTAGCTGAGAAAATGTTATCATATACTGCCTAAGATAGGGAATAGCGAGGAAGTTTTAAGGAGATGTGTTGAGTTCTGGTGCCCAAGGGACAAGTAGATGGAAATTTTCAACAGACAATAGAATTAACAGGCCTGAAGCTTAAAAGGTCTCAGGAAATAGCAATAGAAACTCCAGAAAGAGAGAAGAGTGAGAAGCCAAAGAATGGCAACATTTTTGAGAAATGGGCTAAGTAGGGCAACCCATGAAGCATCCTGTTAGGATAAGTGGGTATCAGTATGGTAAAGAAATTGCTTGGCACCTGGGTACTGTGTATTTAATAAAGTTTATATGAGCAAAAATTAAATATTAAAAGAATATTTAATATTGGTAGGGAAAGACTAGTTTTAGTATCAGCACATTCATTTATGGATATTTTTTAAATGGATATGAGAGATAAGAGGTATGTAAAATGCTTTTTCTGTATTTAATTTTATTTAGCATAATGTAATTTTTTTTCAGATAGTGTCTCACTCTGTTGGCCAGTCTAGAATGCAGTGGTTTCATCATAGCTCAACTGCAACCTCAAATTTCTGGGCTCAAGCAATCCTCATATATCAGCCTCCCGAGTAGCTAGGACTATGGCATGTGCTACCACACCTAGCTAAATTTTTTAATTTTTTTGTAGGGATGGGGTCTTGCTATGTTGCCCGAGCTGGTCTCTAACTCCTGGACTCAAGTGATCCTCTTGCCTTGGTCTCCCAAAGTCTGGGATTACAGGTCTGAGTCACTATGCCAAACCTTAAAATGCTTTTTAAATGTACACAATAAAACATCAAAAGGAAAGCAAAAGAATCAGGGCATTTGGAGCAACTGGAATTCATACATGGCTAGAAGGAATGCAAAATGACACACCATTTTGGGAAGCAGTTTGGTAGTTTCTTGTAAGATAAACATACACCTACTATAGGACCTAGCATTCCTCTCCCAGATATTTATCCATGCAACTAAAACTTATATTGACACATAACTCTGTAGGTGAATGTCTGTATGATACATTTAAATTTTTAATGAAATATTATTCATAACTGCCAAAAACTGGAAAAAAACTCCAGTGTCCTTCATGTGTTAATGAATAAACTCAGGTACATCCATACAATGGAATATTACTCAGCAATAAAAAAAGAATACACTATTGATGAACACAAATGGATGAAGCTCAGATGCATTATGCTAACAAAAGAAGGCAGAATCAAAAGGTTATGCCGTGTACTGTAGCATTCCATTTAGATAACATTCTGGAAGAGGCCAAACTATAGGATCAGAAAGCGAATAGTGTAAAGATAGGAGTGAGTGGATGTGAGAATATAAATGGGCAGCTTGGAAAAATTGTTTTTTATTATGATTGACATAGTGTATTTGTCAAAATTCACAGAACTGATCATTAAAGGAAATTTTACTCTACATAAACTTAAAAAAAAAACATTTTAAAAAAGAATCCAAACTTGCTACACAGTTCTAAAAATTTACCAAAAATACATAAAGATTTAGTAAAAGTATAAGTCAGTACCCAAATTCCATTTAGTGAGTTGTCAAAGAAGACTAACAGTAGTTGTATGCTTGGGAATACAAACAACTTTCCAAAATAGGGAAATATAAATCTTTGCTAACAAAAATGCAAAACAGAACCTTATTAAATTAGTTAAAATTAAATGAAATAATAAACATCAACTGATTACATTAATAAAAATCAGTGGTAGCATAGGACTAAGATAACATGGGAATATATTTTGGGTGGCACTGAAAATTGGTTTAGTTTTCTGGTAAAGCAGTTGCAAAAATGTTTACTCCTTTGACCTCCTTTTACTCCTTTGATGAGCCTGCTGCCCCTACTTTTTTATTCATAGCACTTTACTGGTATTTCCTCTCCTTGCATAGGGAGTAAACTGTGCTGCAATTCAACAGGAAAGAAAAATGATAGTTTTCTAACAAGACCATAAAAATGGAACAAAATTGTACAGTTAATATATACCTAAGCCAATGATTTTTAAAACAATTCTCCCCTAGAACATACGAAATGCTTTAGTTGTTACAGAATTATATAATTATACCATGAGCTCAATTATATGAGCAACTAAGGCAAGTATAATTTCAAACCAATAACCAGCAAATCATTTGTTGGCTTTTGAAATACATGCTATATTTCACTAATATACCTTCCCAGTTATGTTTTACAGATGTTGATATTTTTGTTTGTATATATTGAATATATACCAATAAGACAGTGTAAGGGAGTAACCTAAAATGATAAATCATCTGCAGATATAAAAATGAATAAATAGGCCGGGCGCGGTGGCTCACGCCTGTAATCCTAGCACTTTGGGAGGCCGAGGCGGGCGGATTGCTCGAGGTCAGGAGTTCGAAACCAGCCTGAGCAAGAGCAAGACCCCGTCTCTACTATAAATAGAAAGAAATTAATTGGCCAACTAATATATATATATATATAAATTAGCCAGGCATGGTGGCACATGCCTGTAGTCCCAGCTACTCGGGAGGCTAAGGCAGAAGGATTACTTGAGCCCAGGAGTTTGAGGTTGCTGTGAGCTAGGCTGACGGCACGGCACTCACTATAGCCTGGGCAACAAGCGAGACTCTGTCTCAAAAAAAAAAAAAAAAAGAATAAATAATTTTCACCTATGTTAAATGTGTGCCATATTCCCTTTCTGGATTGTTTGCTGTCAATATTAAATTTAGTTTTGTACGCATAACCACTAGGAGGAAGAAAAGCTAGCCCTATATCTTTAATTTATTTCAGCCAGTTCACTAACAAAATAATTAACTATATATAGTTAAAAGTTGAATTTTACTATTTTAAAATAACATTGATGTTCATACACCACATAATATTTTATGTTGTGTAATAGTTTAAAAGCAAGGTTTTCCTGAGTGCAGTTAAGTTTAAAATAGTTCCCCACCTTTCTTAGTCATAATCAGTCAAAAGGAATAGTAAAATGTGTCATTTTACATTTACAATATTGTATAAGTGAGGAAAAGATACAGAAATAGAAAATTTCCAAGATCGATTAAAATAAACATTATAGGAGTTACTATGACAATATTTTGACTTATTTTCAAATTATAAATAAAATTTGAGACAATCCTTAGGTAAAGGTAAAATTCCAGCCTACTCTCTAATGTGGAGTTTATTTATTTCTCTTAGAGGAATGTATGAGGAAGTAATGTGAAGTTTAAATAACAAATCAGAAACTTACTATTTAAGCTCTCTGAAAAGGAAAGTAAAAGGAGAAAAAAGAAAAAAACTATTCCAAAAACCAAAGGTAATATAAATTGCCAAATTAAGATTAAGAAGCTTTTTTCACATCTATCCTGTGGTGAATAAAGAAGGTAAATATACTTTTAATGCCTTCTATTTAGATATATAAATTTAAAAAGAGACTTCTGGAACACCAGCGATTATACTTATTTCCAGTTAGTTGTTCAGTTCTATTAGATTGACAACTCATTAGGCAAATGACAGCCTGCAAATTCAATCCACAGAATAGCATACTGAAAGTCTATACATGTAGAATTACTATATAAAAGGGAGTATCACTGCTTTTCATAACTTTTAGAAAGTTAGTTGCATTTATTATTCACCTTTAAATTGAAAATTGAAATTTGATGGTGATGGCAACTGTAGTGTGGGTCCACACACAAAAACAATTTGAGAATAATTGCTGGCTATGGAGAAGAAGGCTGGGAAAAGCTGAGAGCCAACCCATCCTGTGAACAAGGAGGGTTGTCTGTGTCTCCTCATCAAGGTGGCAGTCACCAGGACCAGGTCCAGCCTCCTACCCCACAGACAGCAATGGCCCCTGCAAATGAAGGTGAGCTTTAGAGATGAATCTATGGATAATAACACATTGGAGGTTTCCTGTTAAACTAGCACTCTAAGAACATCTTAAATACAACCTTGAAAAGTAGAAAATGATGTGTTCATGTTTTTATTTTTCATCAATAGAGATACATGAATTCAAGTGACAGAATACTTCAATCATTAAAATTCATATTGGTTTATTAATTTTGTTATATTTTGGATGTTGGTATTAATAAGCCAAACAAGATCCTTTATAAGTTTTCTATTTCCCCTTTTTTAAAGCTCTATATTGGGTTCTTAAATTACATCCTCATATCCTACAAATACTTCCTGTTTTCTGATGAATACCATGTTTGAGTTATATTAGACTGGAAGCAAATTAGAATCTTTTTGTAATTTTGACTTCCCTGCTGTTTGCATGATGAGACAAAGGGAGGTCATAATCACCCCAGGAGCTTTCTGAAAGCACAACCTCCTTTCCTGGCCCTACACTCACTTCCCAGTCACCGGAAAGGCAGATCAGCCTCTGAAGCTCCAAATTCTCTTGGTCTCAGAGATCCCTTTTTAAACACTGGCACAATCGCCACCTTCCTGAGATGAGCGTGACTATTTCTGGCCTCCAGTCGGTCGCTCTCATCCCAGTTTGTGATCTGAGACCCATTGTGTCCGAAGAATACCCGAGGTAACGGAGACAGAGGAGGTCAGACTCCATGGGGGGTTGGCTGAACAGTGCCAAGCTGGGTCCTTCACGTCACTAGGTGCCATTTTCACCGGGCCTGTTATTGCCTGCTATTCATTCTGTTAGCAGACTTCGAAATCAGGCAGGACATTAAAGCTCGGTAGAAGCACCTGGGAGCGCGCCCATCCCACGAAGTTGGACTCAGGTTGATTAACGTGGGAACCTCTGAGGACTGGAGTCCAGAGCAGTGGTTCTCCATCCTGGCTGCTAGTTAGGATTAGTTCCCCGGCCGCCCCTCGTCCCCACGACCAATTAAATCGGAACATCCGGAGAGGCATGTAAAGTCTCCCAGGGAGATTCCCGAATGAAAGCCAGGGACTCGGACGCGCGTTCTTGCCCCGCCCGCGGCGGCCTGCGCATCTCCCTCGGGGGGAACTGAATGAAGGCCCCGGGCCTCCCGCCGCGCTATCCCAGTGTGACCCTGGGACAGCTCACAAACACGCAGGGGGCGCGGCGGAGCGGAGGGCCCGGCCGCTCTCGGCCTGGGCGAGGGGAGCCATTGCCCCGCCCGGCCGTCGCCGCAATCGCCGGACTCTCCGCCGCGCGCGCCCCCTGGCGGACCCGCGAAGGTGAGGGGAAGCGTGTGTCCTTTGGCGGCCCTCCACGACAAGCCCAGGTGCTCTCCTCTCATTTCCCCACTACGCCTGCAGCTTGCGTGTCCTCCCCTCTTCTCCATGCTCCAGGGGTACCCGCCACTCGCGGCTTTGCGTCCTGTCCCACGTTGCTTTAGCCTCTCTTGATCCGCTTTTTCCCACACTCCAGGAAACAATTTGTTGATGCTTCGCGATATGGAAAAGTCCTGTGGCTCTGAAAGGCAAGGAATATCCATGCCTTTCAGATATGTAACAAATTACAGTGGGTCCTTGTTCAACTTGACTGTCAATAATATTTGTTAAAACAGAGTTTGGATCTATTTTGGCCTATCAAATTGGCAATATTTGTTTTTAAGTGAGACTCAGTGCTTTGTGAGAATGATGGTAGAAAGACTTTTACATACACATTTTTTGAATATTATTTAGCTTTGTGTATTAGCCTTAAAAATACTCATATGGGAACGGTTAAATAATTGATGGCACATCCTACAACGGAATATTTTGCAGCCATAAAAGATAAGCTTCTCAAGTAATATTTTATTTCAAATCACTGCATGTTAACTATTACATATATTCTGTGATGATGGAAATGTTGGCTATTTGCACAGTTCAAAGAATAACACCCTTTCTTCCCCTCCCAAGTTCTGTATCATTAAATATAGTCAGGCAGATGGGAGTCAAAATATCACCTTTGTTACTGAGAAAAACTTTTAGAGAAAGTGGTATTGGTAGGCAGTGGACTTATAATAATTTGCCCCTGAATGTGGCCTAATGTCTCAGTCATCACACAGTTGGGCAACTTTGGCCTCCCCCACAAGTATGAAGCCTGCTTATCCTATGGAAGACCGCTGACTAAACACAGGCAGAAAGATGTGAAGGAGAGAGCCTAGAACAAGCTGAGCTCATCTGTCATCTGAGTCTCTTCTTCTCCATAAAGGAGAGATTGTAGCAATGAGGCTCAAGGCCAAGGGCATTACATGTAGAATTTCCTCCACATGGAAACAGGAAACCAAGGAAGGCAATTACTGCCCCACACATCTCAAGAAGAAAAAGAAAACCTGAATAAACCAGTAACCGTTAAAGAAATCAAAACATGAATTTTACTGAATCTTCAGGGAACAGATTATCTCTAAATATATTAGCATAAAATGCTTCAACAAATAGATAATTTAGGGTAAGTTATCCAACTCATTTTATGTGGGTAGTATAACCTTGACTCCAAAACTGGACAAGGACAAATAAGTAAAAATACCAGTAAAATTATACTACTAATGAACATAGGCATTAAAATTCTGAGTAAATGTTACATTTACTCAGCAATACAATATAACCAAGTTTATAAGTAATATATAATATAATAATCCACAAGTTATATGTCAAATTATATTACTATATATTAAAATATATTAATTAGTAATATTACATATTAGTTGTACAATAGTACTTATTATATTCTTATTAATATTATACAATAAGACTATAATAAGACAAAGTTATATATCATGACCAAGTTTGATTTATCCAAGAAATGCCAGATGTTCAATAAGGAAAATCTATTAATGTAGTATACCACATTAGGGATTAAAGGAACAAGTCAAAGATAGCCACTGTCAGCTCTACTACTTCACATTGTACTGAAGGGCTTAATAAATACAATAAGACACTAAAAATAAATAAGTCATAGAATTAGGAAAAAGAAACTATGAATATTTATAATATTATCTTTATAGAAAGTATAGAATGTATATTTATTAGAAGTAATAAGAGAACCCAGTCAGATTGCTTCATACAAGAGCAACAAACAAAAATTAGTAGTAGTTTCTATATACTAATATTTAAAAACTAAAAAATGAGAGAAAAAATATTATTCCCAATAGCAACAGAAATGTACCATGTTATTAAATAGGAAGGCTCAATATCATAAATATGTCACTTATTTCCCAAGTTAATTAACAAATTTAATTGAATTCTAATTGATATCCAAGCAAGATATTTTATAGAACTTGACACAGTGATCCTGAAATCAATCTGGCTACGTAGAGGGTTGAGAATAACCACCACAGTTTTAAAGAAAAAGGAAAAAGTGAGAAACTTTCTCTCCAGATATCAAGATTTATTATAAATTTATAATCATTAAAACATGTGATATTGTGAAACTTAGACAAACAAAAAAGGAATCGAATTGAAAGTCCAGAAACATCTCCACACATATATGATGTATGATTGAAGCAGCACTAGAAATCACTGGAGAAAGAATGTACTATTCAATGAGTTGTTAGAGACAATTGGCTAGGTATATGAGAAAATAAATTAGATCTCTACCTCACAGCATACACAAAATAATTTCCATAAAGATTAAAAAACTAACTATGGTAAGCAAAGCATAAAATACTTTAGAATTTGTGGCTTCCCTACACTCTGCCCACACCTTTGTAAACAGGCCTCTGTTAAACTTTCCTCAAGTTACTCAGAATGGATAGTCTATTTCCTGTGGGACCCTGACTGATACAGAAGTAAATATAGAAGAATTTATTAAACAAGGTACAAAAAGCAAAAACCAAATCCAGAAAATTAAAATATGACAAAATACATTGTGGAAATAGAAAATTAGAAACTCAAATACTTTGACTTAGCTATGGTAAAAATTATCCTTAAAACCATAAGCCACACATTTAGAGAAACTTTGGAGATCATTTGGACACAGGTTATTTTAATAACTTTAACACTAAATTAAAGAAAAAAGCCAAGAGTGTATTGATTAAAGCCCATTCCAGCCTAAAGTGGTTTTTTGTGGCTGAGTAAAACTCCGTGGTATACATATACCACATTTTATCAATCATGTATTGATGGGCACTTGGGTTGTTTCCACATCTTTGCAATTATGAATTGTGCTGCTATAAACATTCCAGTGTGGATGTCTTTTTTATAGAACATGTTTTATTCCTTTAGGTAGATGCCCAGTAATGGGATTGCTGGATCAAATGGTAGCTCTACTTGTAGCTCTTTGAAATATCGCCATATTACTTTCCATAGAGGTACTAGTTTGCAGTCCCACCAGCAGTGTGTAAGTGTTCCTATCTCTCTGCATCTACGCCAACATTTCCTTCTCCCTTTTAACCCTTTGCACTCGCTTGCTTTTTTCTCATTATTCACTCAACATTATCCACACTGGACATCCAAGTGCAAAGGGTTAAGGGCATCTTGTTTTGTTCCAGATCTTAGAGGAAAGGCTTTCAATTTCTCCCCATTTGGTACAATGTTTGCTGTGGGTTTGTCATATTATTTTGAGATATGTTCCTTCTATACCCAGTTCGTTGAGGGTTTACATCATAAAGAGATGTTGAATTTTATCGAATGCTTCTTTAGCATCTATTGAAATGATCATATGGGGTTTTTTTTCATTCTGTTAATGTGATGTATCATGTTTATTTATTTGCATATGTTGAATCATCCTTGCATCCTTAGGCCAAATCCACTTGATCATGGAGAATAATCTTTTTGGTCTGTTGTTGAATTTAGTTTACTAGTATTTTGTTGAGAACTTTTGCATCTGTGTTCATCAGCGATATTGGCCTATAGTTTTCTTTTTGTGTGTGGCATTGTCTGGTTTTAGTATCAGAGTAATGCTGACTTCATAGAATGAGTTGGAAAGCATTCCTTCCTCTTTAATTTTTTTGAATTGTTTGAGTAGAATTGGTATTAGTTCTTTTTAAAATGTTTGGTAGAATTCAACAGTGAAGCCATCAAATCCTGGTCTTTTCTTTGGTGGGAGACTTTTCATTTCTGGGACAAATGCAACTTGGTCATGAAATACTACCCTTCTTATATGTTGCCAGCTTTATAATATTTAGAGCAATTTTCTAATATTTAGAATTTTTTCATTTTTGTTCTTGAGTAAAACTGGCCTATAATTTTTTCATATTGTCCTTTTTAGGTGTTGATATCAAGATGAGTACTTGCCTCATAAAACAAGTTGGAAAATGTTCCCTTTTTTCCTATAATCTGGGAGAGTTTGTGAAATATTGAAACCATACCAATTTAATAGACAGGATTTAATTTAGGAAGTTGCTTGGACAAGTATAGAAGGACTGAAAGGTAAAGCAGGAACTTCAGTAACACAGAGATAGTCAATATTGGAAGTGGCTACCATCCATGGGGATGCCAGGACAAAGAGAAAAGATGGGGATATTAGAAATGACAATCTTGAAGGAGAGACCTACAGAGCTGGGACCCAGACCTCTGAGGACTGGTGCTGCCCAGCTGGTGCTGGTACCTCAAGAGTTGCACAAAAGACTCAGCCAGTCTGCAGTCCACACAAGGACTGTTCACTTCTAGTTTACTCTTACAGAAAGCATCCCCCTCCTTAAGACATTTCACTTCTAGCTATTGGGAAATTATCATAATGTGCTGAATTCGTTAGAACACACATTCTGTATGAACCCACACTATCCACAATGTGAATGGCATTATAGGCCACTGGCTATCCCCCTTCTGTCTTCCAAAAATTTACTGAATTATCTCATTCCCTTATATCTTCTTTCTCATTTTCTTTCATCTTTTTCATCCCTTTCTTTAATCTTACTGTGATTTCAAGAATAACATGTGATAAACACATGCAATCAATAAGCTATCTTTAACCCAGAAATATATATACAATTGGTTTGTTATAAAGATATTGTTTTTATATTTATTAAATTATTCCTTATAGAATAAAATATTGTATTAAAATTCATTTGTAATGGTCACGTCTATATTACATCTTTTCTTTTAATATCAACATTTATCTTGTAGGTTCAAAGGAAAAAAACATGAAAATTAAAATCAGTTTATAATCTTATATCAGTATAAAGCACATCAGCGAATAAGATGTCTGAGCAGGAGGATACATCAGAAGAGCTAGAGGATCTCTCTAGTATATCGACAGAAGAATCTATATCACAGTCCATAGAGGATAGTAGATCTAGTGAAGAAACATTAAGTTTGTTAAATGAAAGTTCTGATTTCCAGGAAGAGGGACTTGCCA